CTCTCTTTCTCTCTGCCCCCTCGGGTCGTGCTCTCGTTGTCATTTTGCACACGCTCGTGTCAATTATATTTAGCGTGTCGCCGCGTGATCTCACTGACTCACTGCACGCCACGAAACACGGGAGACGATGCGAGCCTCGTCGAACGTTCGCAACCAAGTACAACGGGAAGAACAGAGGCACGCGTGTATTGTTGGGGCCCGTGGCATCGGGTTCTCGGTAGACCTCTGCCGACCGCGATGATGCTACGGCCGTCGCTGACTCACTAAATGCTCGATATATGCGTGCGCGAATCGCGCGTGCGACGCGCAAAGCGAATTCGATTCGCGGCGGCTCATTCGCGTGAATATGACAAGCAGTTTTATATATCCGGAGCGATTTTATTCGAAGTTATATTCAATCCGTCACAGCCGATCAGGCTATACACGTCTAGCTTGGCAAGAGAAAAAAAATATTTAAAAAAAAAAATGAAAGAAAATTCAATGAAAAGTTTTAGTTAGATTTTTATTGAAAAAAAAGCATTGAATCCACGAATAGATTAACAGACAGAGAAAGAGCACGCGGATATTTTTCACAAATGAAATTGCACGTTTATGTTATTTATATTAAAAAAAAAAAAACTCTCATCCGAATCGGCGTTACGTATTTAGATATATCTCCGAGATACCGAGTGACATTGATTTCTCTCTCTAATCCCGATATGACACGGCAATAAATAGTGATTTAAAATCGTAATGATCAACCGCGAACTAATATATCGGCTTGACGATGTTAAGCAGTACGTCGAGAGTGCCTAACGACGATTCATTGATGCCAATAAAGGAATAGAGACGTCAACGACGGACAAAAGTTCTCGTTGACGAGCGGCGGGAAATTAATCGCGGTAATAATATCACGCGTCACGATATACGCTGTCTAAGTTAGGCGAAGTATTTATGCGGACCCGGGCCGGGACGATTGCGACGAATTCTGTCTTTGAGAGATACGCGCGAAATACGACGGGACGATATTAAACCGGAGACTGACAGGAGAACGCAATAACCAGGGCGTCGCTCGCTCACTCGCTCACTCGCTCGCTTATTTCTATTTATTACATTGCGCGCGAGGCTGCCGTTGTAATTGCGATAATTATCGGCGGCCTTAAATCAACGTTGTCGCGTCTTTCATTCACAAATGCGAGATCTTGTGCAAACGTCAACGCGAATTTTAAACGGGGGCAAATTCCGAACGACAAATTCCTTCTTAGCATGTCAGAACTAAACAAGAGAAATCACAAAAAGATATCTAATTCCGATAGACATAAAAGAGAAAATTGTGCACCTCTGTGCTTTTTTTAGCCGATATTCCACGATACAATTTGGTAGTAGTTATCGCTTATATGCTGTAACAAGTACCATTCGATTTTTATATATTATTTTACATATTTCATATTTACTCAAATTAATTACAATATAATTGCGTATTATGAGTATGGATTAATTGTTAAATCGAAATGAGTGCAGGGATGTCTATTATTCGGCATTATACGGAGCATTCTTTTTTAATTACTTTAGATACAATACGCCAGCGTGAGCCGAGTGACCTTAATCGCCACGTTATTCCAATCGTTTCGCTCGTTATTATTTCGGCGAGCCGTGAGAATTGAGGCAAGAAAATAAAAGCCACGGGCGGCCAACGAGAGCGGAATGAAATCACCGGGGCTGGTCAACGGCGCAATAAAATCCGCGCGCGCGGCGTTGATGCCGGGCACGAGTACGGACCCCGGACATTTGCAAAGTAATCGATTTATGGTTATTAACGCGGTAATGGTAACATTCGCGACTATTTGCATATTCATGACAAGGAGAGTCGGCTGCGACTCGCGGCCGCTATCGCTGGCCGCGCGGGACGAGGAGACGCCTTGATCGCACTTGGATGCAAAGCGCGCGTCCCTTAGACCGCATTAATGAAAAACGACGCCGCTTACGCGCCGTAAAAATTTGATGGCCTCCCGCGGAGCGAGAGAACGACGACGACGGTGGTGGTGGTGGGGTCTGTAACAGCATCACGAATTTTAACGCGAACATTATTACTCCCGTATGACTTCCGCACGCGTTCATTAACACACGGTCGATATGTGAACAATTATTTTTTTTTTTTTTGCGCACATCTCTCTTTGATTATTTTTAATAAAATAACTACTCCACTGGAATTATTCACATATCTCACAATTAATCTCCGTCACAATTAGGATTAATACATCGCTAATTTTATATTTTGTAGTATGTGCTACGTAATTTGATCTGTCCTGTTGTGAAAGAAGTACTCTTTTTACAAAAAAAATTCTTGTATCTTAAGTAATTGTTGCTTGTACTTTATAAGTACAGAAATCTCATATATCTAATTATCGAGATTTCCACAAAATTCGAGAATAGGATTTTTGATTAATTGCTTCCGCGGAAATATCGTGATATAATTGAGGAGACATCTCTATAAAGGATAGAGAAGGATAGAGAAGGCCTCCTAAGCCGTTTGCGAGATGTTTCGAAACATATGCAGGAATCACATATGTGATGAGACACATGCTTATCCCTCATGCCATAGCAACGGCTATCGCCTCGAAGAGGTCCCTTTGATGGAGGCCTCGTCAAGAAACAGCTGTCCCCGTCTCTCTTTGCTACCTTACTATGGGGTCCCTGCTGCGGCAAATAGATAGAAATGTGCGTGAGATACACGGAAGTGTATCATCAAACAAGAAAATTCGGGATAAGCCATAAAAAATGCAAGCAAATGAAAATTTCCTGTATCCTCGAAAAATTTCTTTTGTGAAACGAACAAATATTGATATCAAAGTATGTCAAAATATAATTAGTTAAAAATAATAATGAAGAATAAAATCAGAAAGAGAGCATTTATGTCGCACATAAATAAAATAGTTATATTAACATGAAACAAAGTACGTTGTAGGAAAATGAAGGATATGTTTATTTTTGTATTAGTTTTACCCAGATTTTATTTCTAAAAAGGCGTAAACATTAATTAGAATAGCATGTATATGAACAATTTAAATTAAAATGTTTTTCCAAGTGTTGCAAGAGTGGATCAATTTCGAAAATGTAATTGCGATTTTTCATTTTAATGTCTCGTGTTTCGCATGATTTCAGCGCGATGCGAGTATTGCTATCGAAGTTACCACGACCTTGGATCGTCGACGAAAAGAAAGATGACGGTTACACGGCTCTGCATTTAGCTGCCCTTAACAATCACGTGGAGGTCGCGGAACAACTGGCACGCGCCGGAAAAGCTGACTTGGACCTGCAGAATGTGAATTTACAAACCGCCCTACACCTGGCAGTCGAGCGACAGCACACGCAGATCGTTCGGGTGCGTAAAAATCGTACTCCAATCCCGATGTTTGGAATCATTTTGTAAAAATCATAAAACTTAAATAATTAATTTTAATAAATCGAACGCTAAGATAAAATGTCGATCGACATTTGATAATTTGTGTCGTCATTTTTTCTCGGAAGAAAATTGATATATCCATCATTTTGGGATAATTAATTCTGTATCGCAGCTGTTGGTTCGCGAGGGTGCAAATCTGAACGTCGCCGATAAGGACGGAGACACGCCTTTGCACGAAGCTCTTCGACATCACACGCTGTCGCAACTGCGGCAGCTGCAGGACGTACAGGACGTTGGACGGTTGTTAATGGGCCTAGGCACCCAGGGTCAAGACAAGAAGAGCAGCTCCTTCATCGCGTGCTTCCTTGCGGCGCATGGCGCCGATCTGGAGCTGAAGAACAAGAAGGGCCAAACGCCTTTGGATCTTTGTCCGGATCCGAATCTTTGCAAGACTCTCACCACCTGTCATAAAGACAAAGAATCGTTAGTATTTGAGAGAAAGAAGAAGAAGTTTTCTGACTCCTTTGTTTTTTAATTTCAAGCGAGCTTTTATTAAAAAAAATATCCATTTTATCAGAAATATTGCCAAATGTAGTCAAATTCTCTGTCAAAATCTTAGATAAAATTTTAATTTATTAACAAAGCTTATAGAAACTTGTAAAGGTCTCTTTCCAAATTTAGATTTATTTTATATGAGTTAATAAAAGAGAAAAGATTTGATCGCGAAAAGAATTAAAACGCGAGCTTGCCTTATTTCCTGTAAAATCGATTTCCTCGTTACGTGTTCTACTTGCAATTTCCTGTGCAATTACACCATACATCTCCGTATCTCTTGGTATAATGTTCGCCAACGTGCAACTTCCCTTTCCAGACACGACATCGAAACCGTCGTCCCATCGGCGGCGATCGACGAATGTCTCGTATGCTCTGATGGCAAACGAGAGATGCTGTTCAGTCCCTGTGGACACGTGGCTTGTTGCAACGCCTGTGCACCGAGAGTGAAGAAATGTCTCATCTGTCGTGAGAACGTTCTTTCTCGAGTAAAGGTAAAATATCACCAACGCTATTATTACGCATTTTTATATTTAATTATATTATATTATATAACAATTATATATTATTTTTATTATTTATATTATTTTGTATATTAATTATTATGTAATATTTTTATTTTTATAAAATTTTTTTATATCTTAAATAATAAATGTTATATCTCAATAATTCACTCTACGCGTTAATGATAAATTAGTGTATTTTAATAATTTGTGTTTTTAATAATTAATTATAAGTGAATTTCTTTATCTTCTCAACAGTCCTATGAAAGAAAAATTATTATTTTAATTACGTAACATCACGAAAGTTCCAGTCAATGCAATAAATTACTCGTTTTGTCGACCCGATTTGAAACATCATGCTATCGCTACGTAGATCAGAACAATTGGCCGGACAGTCTAATTCTGTCCTGGAATAGATCCTTGAAACTCTAGGATCGCGCGTTCCATTCACCTTCTGCCTTCGCAACAATAATGGGCGTTTGTTTCCAGATCGAAGAATGCGTGGTGTGTTCGGATCGCAAAGCGGGCGTCCTGTTCCGTCCGTGCGGACACATGTGTGCCTGCGAGAGCTGCGCGGCCCTGATGAAGAAGTGCGTGCAGTGCCGTGCTCAGATACAGCACATGGTACCGCTCTCCGTTTGCTGCGGCGGCGGTGGTGATGTCACCTACGTGAAGGGGTGCAACGCCTCAGGTATGGAACACCCGCTTCGCGCACAGCGCCCCGCCTCTCACAGCCCCTCGCCTCGATCTCTCTAATCGCGCGGTATATATTGAACTGCTCCTACATCCAACGATTAGCAAACGCCTCGGATTATTCTGCGCCGAACTATTCTCGGATCGTATTTGCACAGTTTGTGTACTCTCGCGATGCGCAGATTTTCTGCTTTCTGATAATTGCGATAATCGTCGAACGGGATCGGAAAGTGAATGAAATTAAAGCTCGTCTTTAAAACGTAGTGATCGCAAAAATAACTTCCCCGTTAACGTATATACGCAATATCTCTCTCCCTCTCTCTCCCCCCCTCCCTTCCCCTCGCTCCCTCCCTTCCTCTCACGCAATACTTTGAATTACTAATGTATAAATGTAATGTATAATGCTAATGTATAAAATATTTCAAATTATGCATAAATATTTCTCTATATTTGCTGATATCTCGTAATGCAAACTGCTCGACGCTTACGTTATTTATTGCATAGATATTTCATATACTCTCTTCCGTTGAAATATTCATTTCGCTATTGATATAATGATGTTTGTATCGCGAATAAAAATACGAGTTGTGATAAATAAGCGTGTCGCTTGGCAATGTCGTCGAGAAATTGGCGAGTCTTCCTTTTCTTTCTTTATTTCCTTTTTTTTTTTTAAACGACTGTTATGCTTCGAAGGAACAATATCCGAAGTCAAGGCAGATCCCGAGGAGGAGCCGACGCCCTCGAACAACACCGGGACTGGGGAAGCTCTCCTAATGAACAACGGCAGCCGAGATACTTCCCACAGCGACATACAAAAACTACAGCAGCAATTGCAGGACATCAAGGAGCAGGTACGTGTCCCTTCTATGTCTCGCTTCGTTATGCGCTGCTTTAATGAAACGAATAATTTAATTTGTGTCGAAGAAAGAAGTCCACACCGCGCCCTGTACAATTATCTTTCGCTCTCGAAGAACCGGAATACGTTTTCTCGAACTAAATTCCAAGCCTTTTTCTTGCCAGCAACAACTTTAACTATCGCTCATCCTTACTTTTCACTTCATTAATTTTAAGAAAGATTTAGATAGTTAAGATCACAGACAGATTAGAATGTTTTATTACAAAAAATTATTTATTTTTTATTTATTTTATTCGATTTTAAATAGAAATTTAAGAAAATTTTAAAAATTATATTTATGATTAAAAATAAAATAACATAAGATATGAATAAAATATTTAGGAAAAAAGATACTAAGAGAAAGAGACAAAAATATATTAATACTAATTATAAATTGAAAGAAAATCTTAAAATCATCCGGCATAATGACGAAGCTGGACTAAATTGATTTGCTTGTGACGGGGATTTGCTCGTGACAGAGAATTCGGAGAATGCTATACAGAATAATTTGCGATAATCTTATTCTTTTATTATTGCAGACTATGTGTCCGGTTTGTCTGGATCGTCTGAAAAACATGATTTTCCTGTGCGGACACGGCACCTGCCAAATGTGCGGCGACCGGATGTCGGAGTGTCCAATATGTCGCAAGGCGGTAGACAAACGCATTCTGCTTTACTAAAAATAAAAGACTGTCGCCGATCGCGTTACTCGCTGGAATTTTCCGACAGCGATTATATGACGTATTAAAATCCACCACATTTCACGTGAGGAAACGTAGCCGTTTCCTTGTATCCCATTTATTTCTGACAGTCGCATTAAGCCAAGCCGAATTGCGAAGCAACATTGTTTTAAAAAGCATGATATTCAATAACGTAGAAATGAAGAATAGTGACGATATTAGATAGATATACAGGTCTTTAAATTGCGGTGATTCATAAAATATAGGCTAATCGATAAATGATCGCGATAAAATATACGTACGCACAATTCTTATTTATTATTTGTATATCTAACAAGGGAAACTCGTTGCATGATAGATGATATATTATGCTGTTGAAGTTACGTTTCATATTTAGGGATACAATGTAAGTGTAATATATTTCCAATAAGCTTCCTACAAAAGTCTTTATTTACCATTTATGGATACTGTCGTCTTTCTGCATTATTCAGAAAACGCTCGGTAGGCATTAGAAAGTTCTTCCGAATATCTATTATCGATAGGATGGTTTTACATGTTGAGTAATTCCTGCATAGATTGCCAAAATAATAAGAAAAATATTGCATTTGAATTCCATTTGATTTTTTGAAATATTAAAACGAAAACTATTATAAGATTATTTAAGTCATTGTTGATGAGATGTTATGACCTGCCTATATATGTAATATTATACGTTATATAAATGGTAAAAAAAAGAATATTTACTTTCGATACAATGCAATGGCGAATCTACATCGGAAGCTGTGTCTAATTTTGTTTCACAAAATCGTATTTAAAATTTGTTAATTATTTTATTGAATATATAGTTATATTAATAGAATATACGATTATATTAATTAATTTGTGTTTCTAAAATTTTAATATTTTAAAAATAAATGGCTTTAATCTAAGTATTTTTTATATCAATTTTGGTAGTAATAAATAAAATGAATATATATCATTTTGTGAGTATCTATAATATAAATATTTTTTGAGAAACACTTGTCAGAAGTATTAGTTTCAGCCTTCCAAAAATGTAGATTTGCTACTGGTAAATTTAGATTTGTAGTACGATATATCTGCCATATCTTATGAAACTCTGTAACAGTAATTGTTTTCTTTTTTTTTATATCAAGTTTAATGCATTTTTTGTATATATTCCATATACTGTAACAATACTGTTGCCTATATATAAACTTCCGAATATGAATAATGCTCACTTTATTTAATTCTCAATTTGTGTTGTGTTCAATGGCATGTTAATCATTGTACTCAAACATGGCTTAGTCTCGAAAATTTTGTATTGACTTGTATCATGACAATTGATAAGGCATAATCTTGAAAAAGATATTAACGAAAAAAGATATTATATAAAATAAGATATATTCATATTCGAAAGTTATTGTGACAGTATTTCTACTTATTTTATTATCGTCTCCCGGATTATATCATCAATATCATCACCAATATATCAAATTATAGAATAAAAATGAAACAGTCTGAATTGCGATAATTATATCGCAAAATGTCCAATATAGCGATTATACTTGCATTATCACGATTACTTTGACATAGTTTATCAAACAATGAAATAAAGGAATTTTGTATATAAACTCGCCATACAGATTCCTTTATTAAATATTACGCAACGAAATTGTAACTATATAAATTGTATGATAAATTATTAATTGGAGTAAAAAATAAGTACAAGAGACAAGATCTAAGAAAATTATTTATTTTCATCGAGGATCTGAATTTCATATACATAGAGCATATACATTTATATTGATAACTGAATGTACATATCTTTGCTCATCTGCTTTTTTTGAGTTGGATAACGCATTCAAAAATCTACAAAGAAAGTTTCGAATTTACGCGATATGGACATCTATTCCAGTCTCGTGCCATTATTAGCTATCCCTAACTCTGAAGATTGCACTGCATCTTCCGTTAAAAGGATTCTCCCATTTTATTTTATGAACAATTCGTATAAAAGACTATCTCATGCATTCGTACAACACTTTCGCAGCACTAACGGCACTTACATTGTCAAAATTAGATCGAATGCAGTGACGATTCGTCATAGACTCTCACGTAAAGAAAAACGAGTGTATAAAACACAAGAGTATTCGCTTACAAAGAGACAAAGAAGGATGTGCATTCGTAAATATAGAGATAAAAAAAAAACGCGTTTCCGTTTTCCCACGTATACGGGCATTGCTAAATAATTTACTATGACCGGGCGCTAGGGCATGTGCGTAAGCATATATATCTCGGTAATATTATATTAAATATTTTAATTACATTAATTTAATAGCTTTCTAATTATTCTCTGCTTCGTTATTGATATTTAGTCAATTAACAACACTCGAGGCTGTCGCAAGGTTGCAAGACAGATTATATTTTATTCTTTTTTTTAGATTTTTCCTTCTTTGCGTGTGATCGGGTTAGATTAGAACTAAATTTTACCTCTTCGCGATCCATGTTACTATTGTTATGATCGTTCCCATTATAACAAGTGAGTTACAAACATTCACAAATTTGTATTTGAATTGTCTAATGGCAACGAAGCTTCGACTATTATTTGTATCGTATCGATGGATCGCGAAGAAAAAGCGCACTATTCTTAACATTCAGACGATGAATTCAGGTTGGGTGGAGAAAGTTTCTTGGTCCGTGTGAGACGATCTAACTCCGCTGCTGCATCGTTACACATCGTCGCTTTGTCCACCGGTGTATCTGAAGTGTGAAACGTCTTTTTCAGTATATCTTCATTGTAAGAAGTTTTAATTACATACCAAGTTTCATAGGACTGGCTCCTACGCTGCCCGGTGCCCCTGGTGATCCGGGTTGCACTCCAGTCTTCTTATAAAGAAGAGAATTGAAGAAATTAGCTAAGACACCCTCTCCGGACGGTGTCGCGCCGCTACCCTTGGGATCCAGTTTCTTGTTCGGCGACGCCACCTATTTGTAAAATCATTAGTGTCTATTCATTATTATTCATTCAGGAGCTACTCGTAATAGGCAGATCATACCACATAGATTAGAACATGCTTTCAAACGTTAACTGCAATAACCACAAGAGATGACGGCTGGAATTGAAATTACGTGGAATGTTAAATAATGACAGATTGACTATCAGTGGACTATCGGGAACTGTTATACATGATTTACTGCCATGATTTATTGGCTTCGGGATTAAATTATTATATGTTAAATGGCGAACAAATGACTGTGTATGAGATTATTGTCGCTATGTCACTGTATCGCACCTAATTGTCATTCCATTAAATAATTTTATTAGATACATAAAGCAATACGGGTTTTCTAAAAGGCATAAGCTCGTAATACACAAAAGACAAAAATACATTTATTTTTAACATCGAATAAATGAATCAGTTATATGAGTGAACAAAATAATTATGCGAGTACAATTATATTGCATAATGAATGAAACAATCGATACAAATATGTATCAGATTACAGATTTAATAATTCTGCACTGGACGTAACGGATGAGATTAATGGATCACTCGCACGATTTGTAATTGCGATGAGAAAATTAGTGACAATACTGTGGTCTTTTCATTTGACACGCAACATGAAGAGCATGCTCCATTTATAAATGGTATAACCTGTATAACTGGTCCAGGGCTTGCCTGATTCCGAGTCGTTGGAGAACGAGTGGGATCCTTCAAGCCCGACAAAGCCGCTTGCTGTCGGGCAAGAAAGGCTTGTTCCTCTTCCGCTTGAACTTCCATTTCTCTAGCAACGCACTACATCATAGTATCGATAGATAAAATATTTAACTATTGCATTTGCGTCATGTTGAAAAGTTCGCATTATAGAAACGCGAAACAATAATACAAAGCGTACTAAAATAAAATAGCATACTTTTCGATTTGTTGCTGGCTGTGCGATAACGTCACGATAATAATCGTTCGCCTTCATAGATTGTAAATTCTCATGTAAAATACTAATCTTCTTCATGTTATCCCAACCAGCAGGTCTGCAAACAATGTGCAACGCAAATAATTTTAACATATATACGTGTAAAGAAATCTTTTATCTTTTCATCAGTTCCTACATAAGTACTGCATCCTTTTCGACGACCAATGCCGGTGTTCGGAACGGTAAAGAGTAAATCCTATGTGTTAGATATTTATATAGCAAATCACAGTTTTTATCCTCCTTCGCCGATGTGTAAAAGAGACCCGCGCCATATTGTAAGCAAAACCGCCTGATCCACTGTTGCATGAAGTCAAAATGCTCGTCTCTATGAATAAAAAAAAAATAATGATGTCAGATTAATGTTATATAAGCGTTACCAATTTCATTCATTCAATATTTACTTATAGTCTTGTTCTTTTTCAAGAGTGGACATATAGTCAGTTTTCGTTATGACTACAACTACATCTAAACCCAAATTAGTTGTAAGTACTCCTTCCGGTAAAGGTAAACCTTCAGCGGTATCGTCGTCCAGATTACGACTAGTACGTCGCAAAGGACTTCCAGGATCCAGTTCGTCTCCTGGCTCCGTATAATCTTGCCATTTCTTAACATCTAATGAAATAAATTATATATAGCAACATTATGTTTTTCAAAGTTTAAAATTTACTTTAAGCTATTGACAAAAATATTCGTTATGAATTTTAGTTTCATATTTTAATAAGAAAAAATTAAAAACAAAGAATGGAAATGAGAAATGCAATAATAAAGCAACATCTATCAAAGTAAAAAGCATTAATAATGTTCAAGCAATAGCAAAGTGCTAACTATTGTATTCTATTTCTACTTACTAAGCTGCCTGCACCGTTGCCTAGTATCATTATCTAATGGTAATTTGTCAATATGATCGCCTAGTAATGCCGCCCATGATTGAAGCTGATCGAGAATGGCCCATGGTGTGGTCATGGCAGCAACTAACATAACAAGAGTATGTGGAAACCTCTCTTTGTTCAGAGCAAATCTCAAAAGATTTGCGTGACCCGGGTCTCCATCCAGAACCCATACAGATAGCCTTGTATGATCTACAAGAAAATCAATGATATCACATCATTTAGCTAAATAGTTAAATATATATCAAATAAATAAAATATTGATTTTAATTTATAATACCAACCGTCTCTATAATCATCTCTTACATCGATATATGCAAATTCTAGTCCAGAGCCTTTCTTTGGATCTTCTACACCTTGCAGCTTAGCTATAAGCGTAGTTTTACCACTCTCATTGTCACCTAAAATAATATATTATTAAAATTTCATATTTCTGTGATAATTGATAACAATAAAAACACTACATTCAACAAATTTGCTGAATATATTTGCCAGTGATTGTCTGATAAAAAAAAATAATATGTTTCCTTGTACAATACTCTAAACACATGAATATCTCTATGAGTATACACGCAGATTTCAAAGATTGTGCTTTGTTGCAGATAACCTTTTGCGCTTCGGCCATGACAGAAAGCTATAGCTAGGCGCAAAAGAATTGCAACGAAAGAATGGATTTGTCCTCTTCGAACGGATATGGCAACGAGATACTTTTTTTCTGCCGATGACACACGCGTCGAGGGTACTTAATATGCGTGCTACATCGACCTACAAGCGATCGAAATCCAAGCGAAACATCGTCAATATTTACCTAGGACGAGAACGTTTTTATTCGACGGCAGCTTATTGTTTCCGCTGTTCTGCACTTCTGCCAAAATAGACGACCTGCAAAACGTTAACGTCGAGTGAGATACGATCGAACGCATAAAATTTTTCTCACGCGGCGGGATGTGTCATACGAAGCGGAAGGCACCCTTCGCTCGCTCGCGTTTTCTCAGGAGGCATAAAAACGTATGGCCGCCACTTCGCGGCGCCTCTTGACGCACGATTAACATCGCGTCGCCGAGCTACGGCACGTACCACAAATTGTCCTTATTTTCGATGTCTTCTTTCCTTTTTCCGTGAAAGCCATTGCTCTGCAACATCGTATCAACCGTCGTCGCTGCCATTATTATCCATTTGACAGGCATGAGAATATCGATTGCGAGCGCGCGAGTGACGGTGCGCGGGTGTGGTGGAATCGCGAGATCGAATCGTATTGCGATTCGATTCCAATCGACCGTAGTTAAACAAAATCGAGCACTCGAGCTCACAATTATCAAGGCTGAGTTCGAGAAGCGCGCTATTAGAACTATCGCATCACTCTATCCTTAATTTACATATAATGAGCATAAAGATAAAATGATGTGATAGTGCACTCCCCGAACGCAGCCCAAGTGTATTCGAAATTGCGAAACCTGAACTCGCAAATTGACATCGCAAAATCAGAACTCGCAAAATTAAAAAAAAATTAATCGTATTACTTTGAGAGCTTTCTAGCAAGATACTCAAATCACAACACAGGAGTCATTCTATCTTTCTACGATTCAGTAGGAGACAAAGACAAAATAACTCTTGCTGGAAAGTTCCCTTTATTTTGTTTATTATGCTTATGCTTATTATTATTATTATACTTATGCTTATTATGCTTATGCTTTCATTTAGGGATTAAAAAGGTATAAAAATATCGGTAATACAATGGTATTTTTCGGTTTTATATCATATCATTCATGCCTATTATGTCTTTCCTATTCTTCACTTTTATTTTCTAATTATTTCTCTTTTCATAATTATATTACCAGAGTATTGCTTTTTAATTGGATATTAATTATAACTGGACGTATGATTTTAATAATAAAATACGATCGTTATATAAGTATTGTTTATTATATCTAATCTATTCATATCATTATTTTTATGTCTCTTCATTTTTCGCTTCAACTCATGTAGAATTTCTTCAGATATTCGGCTTTAGGTTTTAGTATTGCTTTATCTCTAAGACTGATTACCCAGCCTGGTTCCAAACCATAAAACAGTTGCCGCGGATCCTTACGCTCGCACAACATCTCATAGTCGGGATCATCCTCGATTTTCGGCAATTCGTAGCCATATTTTTGCGCCAACACCAACCGTTCCTGAGATATCTTCTCAGGATCTGCCAAATATCCTCTCGTAGCAGCACTAGAATAATATTCTAGACAATCCGTCGGCGGCAGAAACCTACGTGGTATCGGTTCACCTGTTCACATTAGAAAGTAATATATCAAAAATCTTGGAAGATATTTATTATGAATGCTTTTCTAGACATAAAGATATCTCTTTAAAATTTTACCTCGGCTGAAGAACTGTTCTGTATTGCATATGGCATGAAGACAGTTTGTGTCATAATACGCAGTTGTAATAACACCGCCGTTTCTTTCGATCGCTGCAATTACAGGCTCGCTAGCCCACTGCACTTCTATATTCACTTTAGCTTTAAAATAATGTACACCCTGAAAACAAAGTTCTCATATCAACATAGTTTTGGAATACACAATATTATAATACTATAAACAAAATTTTATAGTTTAATTTAAATATGTCCAAAGTGGATTTAAATTAGAAAATCACATGAATTATTACCTCATCTGTCAAATGAACACCAGCGTGCTTCCAGTGTACATTGATATTGTATAGACCAGTATTTATCAATGAAATTAGATCGATTGGTTTACTAATATCTAGTCGATTTGTGTCAATAAACATCTGTAATTTTTGCAAAGAAAGTGGTGGATATTCTCGCCTCAGGCTAAAAGCAAATTTCTTTTTTTAGAAATCTAACATATATATAATTTCTATAATATATAATGTTGTAAAATATAAATCTTTATTAAACTCACTGATGTCCTTTATAATAAGGTTCTCTGCTGAATCTTAGGTAAAAGGGAGTATTACCAGTTTCATAACCCAAACGCATATAATTTTGTCTCTGTCCGGAACCCTTATTTCCAGCACCATGCTTATTACCACCATGTTGACCTCTACCTCGTTTCTATATGCAAAGATTATGTGAAAGATTATGATAAAATTACTTTGTAATTAAAGAAATAAAAATTATGCAGTATAATACTTTTCATACCGATGGTTTATTTGAGCCGGGATTATTTCGGATGTTCCCTAATGACACTCTAGGTAACACTCTTAATATTGATAATGCCAAATCTTTTCCTTGTTTCCCAGCCATGTCGATGTGAACAAATCTTCAACAATAAATTCGTGTTTGATAAATATAATCCAATTTTAAAGCTTCGGCATAGTCTAACCTAATAAAAGCTATTTCGCATGCAGCAAAATCGACGTTTATTATCGAAAATATCGATAATATCGATACACATTTAGCAAATATCGATTAATATCGATACACATTTTTCGAATATTTTTATTCTTATTCTTGTTTTTATTATAAATAAACTTTAGTTAGATAATAACGATAATAGTAATTATAGTCTAATAATTTTTTTAATGTGATGAGAACTATAAGAAATAAGAATATAAAAAATTATCCGTGATTCTATTAATATATTTGTAACATTAATTTATATCTTAATTATATTAATATTATATTAATATTATATTAAATTATATTAATATTATATTAATAATATTAATATAATTAATTGTATAAATTTAGCTCGAAATTAGAACATGGTTCATAATTGGGACCATTATTCTATTCGCTCAGGAATCAGCAATAGAGAAAAGTTGAGGTGTAAAGAGTGCAATGAAGTGCAACTGGAAATAACAAGAAAAGTATTTGGATCTTCAGTCTTCAAAGATGGTGACTGTTTTAAATGATTCCGATAGTGAGGATGAGCTGCCACCGGGATGGGAGGAACGAACGACGTTGGATGGAAACGTTTATTACGTGAAGTAACTTAACCGATTTTATACTTTGCATTTTAGCACGAAAGATTAAAGGTTGTTTCTTTTTTTTTTGCACTTGACGATTATAAAAGGAGTCTTTAAAATAGATAGTAAGATAAACGAAGAAATATTGTTTCATAAAACATATGTTACAGTCACTATACCAAGGGTACGCAGTGGACACATCCAAGGACTGGTCGTAAAAAAATCGTCAACGGGGGTACGTTTGATTTCTTTTTTTCGTGCTTCTGAAATCATGATGGACTTAATGATGACTTATAATTTCATATTTTTTCTAAATATTCAGAAGATTATATAATTCAAATTTGAGAATAATGTTCAATGATGTTTAAAATAAATAAAATAAAATTTAATTATAAAAAATTAATTACAATGAAATGTTAAAACAAAAAATTAAACAGATTTACCACCTGGATGGGAGAAATGTATATCAGATGATGGCAAAGTTCTATACGTGGACCATACAAATCGTACAACAACCTATACTGATCCACGCTTAGCATTTGCTACCGAATATAGAGAAATATCTCAGGTATTACGACAAAGATTTGATGCAAGTAGCACTGCCTTAGCAGTGTTACATGGTCGAGATCTACGCAACAAAGTTGCTCTTGTTACAGGAGCTAATACAGGCATTGGTGAGTAAAAAGTTGTTATAGCAATTGTTCTCATAAATTAATTAAGCAAAATCATCTACATACAGGATATGAAACAGCCAGATCATTAGCTTTGCATGGTTGCAACGTTGTATTAGCTTGTAGAAATATGGAGAAAGCTAATGAAGCTATAAAACATATTCAACAAGAGAAAGAGACTGCAAATTGTACGGCTTTAGAAATGGACTTGACATCACTGAACAGTGTGCGTAAAACTGCTGAGCAGTTCAAGCAGAAATTCAAGTGAGTTTACTATACATATATATTATACATTATTTAGATATTGCTATCATTAATTGTTTTTATTATATAAATATATAAAATTATTCAATCTTTCAGGTCTCTTCACATTCTTATATTAAATGCCGGTGTATTTGGAATACCTTATCAGCTTACAGAAGATGGTTACGAGACAACATTTCAAGTCAATCATTTGTCGCAGTTTTATTTGACGCTTCTATTGAAAGAGACAATACAAAATACTAATAATTCCAGAGTCATAGTAGTTTCCAGCGAATCACACAGGTGATTTATATTTTAAAGGAATATCTTCCCTGGCAAAAATAAAAATCAAAGTATAAATGTAGCATAAGGAAAGAGAAACAGAAATATGAATGAAATTTTTAAAAAGAATAAATTAAAACATGGAATATAAAAAGAGTTTATTTATAAAATTCTTATTTGATATATTTCTTAACATTAAAATCGTTTAGAATGTAAGTAAATGTTTAATGCTTTCATTGTTTTTCCTTATACTATACTTACGCTTTGATTTTTATTTTCGCTTGTACAAAGATAAATTTAAAAATCTTTATATAATAAAAGCATAATTAAAAGCATAATTATTTTTTATATATAGATTTTCAACAATTCGAATTCCAGAAGATATTCATCAATCAACTCTATCTCCACCGGCGTACAAGTATTGGGGCATGGAAGCGTACAATGAATCAAAACTTTGCAATATTCTATTCGCGCAAGAACTGGCACGACAGTGGCCCACCGTGAGCGTATTTTCTTGTCATCCTGGTAACATGGTGTCTACATCCTTATCGCGTCATTGGTGGCTGTATCGACTATTGTTTGCTTTAGTACGGCCGTTCACGAAATCATTGGTATAGTATAAATTTTCTAATAAATTTATAGGAAGCGTTACATAAACTTAAATTTAAAAAAAATGTTTAAATGCAAAAAACAAATGTCGATTTTGGTTTATTTGTTAACACAAATTTATATAAGAAATGAGTCTCAAGTTTCAAATCACTAATATAATTTTATTCAAATAAATACTTTTTAACATTTCGTTATTTTATGGTATTATTATGTGCTGATATATATTTGTATTATAATCTTGGAAGATAGGATAATAATTATATCTAATGTATTGCAGCAACAAGCAGCGAGCACAACAATATTCTGTGCTACTGCACCAGAATTGGAAGGTGTAACAGGTAGTTACTTTAACAATTGTTGTCGTTGTCAACCATCGAATGCTGCTCTGGACCCTGTATTAGCCACGCGATTATGGATTCTTAGTCAAAACATGATAACAGACGTTATAGAAAAAAATAAGAATAATTACGGAGAAAAATGAGATTTATCATCTTCAATTATCCGCTATTATATAAATTAAATAAAAAAATGTTATTAATCCTGTATCATGTAATTTATATATTTGTAAATTAATAATTATATCAGTATAAAAATAAAAATATCTGTGAATCCTTTTAGTCTAAAGATATATTTTGTATGAGTGTATTTTTTGCAATTAGATTCATATTTTCTTTATTATTTCATTCACAAATCCAGACGGCGTTAAAAGGAGGAATCATCTTTGAAGGAGAAAAGAGAGAGAAAGATTTTAAAGAAACCTAACCTCACGTTGCCTATGGTTCTAGTGAAACATGGAACTCATTCAATGGTAAAAGGCATGTTGACAGTCGAAGGAATTAATAAATGTAAATAAGTTTAGAAAGTCAAAAAAAATGGATTACCACGAAATATTATCTATATTAATTTCTAGTGATGATAGTAAGATTTTAAAAATATATCACTGATTCAATAAATTGATAATTAAAAATATATATCATATTTTTTAATCAAATCTATATTTATAGATCATGATAAGAATTTTGAAGACAAACTGACACGAATACTACACGAAGTAAGGCCACTTTTACCAGAAAATATGAAACAATCTATTAGAGACTTTTCTATTAGGTAAAATCTTGCATTGTTGAAATACTAAATGATTCTATATAAACTAAAAATATATCTGAAATATTAATTTGTATTTATATTAATTTATATGATGTTTACGTTTACATAGAGATCAATATATTCATACAATAATTTACATATTGCTTCGTATTAAACAAGATAATGAGAAAGCAAACATAGATGCACCCTTCAGTGTAAAACAATATCGTTCTATGAAAATCGCCGTAGAACTAATAATATCAATCGGAATTGTACCTTTCTTATTACCTGGTGTTGGTGTAAATATGGCTAAATTATGTCCCAGAGCTTCAAACATTCAAGAAGAAAATTTAGGCTGCCTAGAGGTAAGACATTAAATAATTTATACATTATAATTTTTGTAATTATGTTTTTTTATACCAACCTTATATTTCAGAAATATAAACGATTATGTTTTTCAACTCACTCACTTCTTGAACTTTTCGACGATCTCAACTTGCGACCAGCTGTGCTTTCTCAAATTGGCCCCTTAATGGCTAGTTTATTACAATTGTCACATGCTCCATTGGCTAAACCATCCAGCAAAATTGAATCCACAAATGTAAATAAGCAAGAATTTCATATGACAATAGAAGAATATCAAAAGTTGCAGAATCGTCAAAAAGTGTTTCACACTAAATTAATTTCATTATTAAACAACTGTCCACACTATGTGTGTTTTCGAGAGTTGATGGTAATTCTTGGAATGCAAAATGCACCAAGGTGGCTACGTAAAGAAACTCAGAATTATCTAATTAAGATACTTATACAACCAAATGGAGTATTATCGTTAATCACTGCAATTTATGAAGATGGCTTAGACTTGGGAGCAGATTGGAAGAAATTAGATACAATTTCCAGATTAATAACAATGTCGCATGGAAAGAATATTGGTGAATATTATGAAGCAATATGTCCACAGGTAGGCTAGAAACTATTTTAAAAAGAAATATATATATATATATATATAATGCATGTATATCCGTTTATAAAAAAGAAAAAACAATACGTCAGAATTATATAATTTCCTTTTTAGATTTTAGATCTGCTTTCCTCAGATAAAATCAAGTACAGTTCAACAATAGCAAATTGCTGTATTAAAGCTCTATATGATTACAATCCAGATGTTTGTCAGAAATATATTGTAAAAATCATTTGTCTACCTTTAATAACGAAGGAATCGCACACGGCCTCTGAAAAGGAGATAGAACAATGTATAGAAAGATTAGCAAAATGTTTTCTGACAGAAGACGCCAAGTTCAAACATCTACCTTGCAAAGTTATCTCGCACGTTGCCATTCCTCTTTTTTGCTTGTACGACAAAGTCCGCGAAAGCGCATGCACACTAAAAACAAATTTACGACGACTATTATTAAAAATACTCGAAGAAGAGACAATGCGAGAAAAACTATTTTCAGCTTTTTTAGGACATGATACATCAACAAGATTTGGAGATTATGTGATATTAGAATTTGGGTCAACCGGTGGTGTTGAAATTACTGGCTTAAATGAACATTTAGACTATGAAGAATTAGCTGATACCATTTTCGATTTAATATCCACCACTAAGGATTTGTCTCCCAGCTTATTTTGTTACATGTTAAAGTTTCTATCAAATGTAAACAAATTGAGTGATGAAGTGGAACAAAAGAAAATGCTGGAAACAGAAGACGATAAAATAGAACGCATCGCAATACAATTAACAGCTCATAAACTTCTATCGCAATTAGCTAGTACAAGTACCGTTCAGGAGGCACAAATAAAAAATCCTAAACCATTGTTGTCGTTTATAAAGTCATTGTTCGACGGATATATGAAAAGTCATCTGGATAAAACTGAAGAGACTGAATGCGAGATGCTATATATTAGCTTGATGCTAATAAAAATGATTCTAATGGAAAAAACTACTGTACTCGAGATTGGTCTCTTCAAAGATTTCAGCATATTTTTAGAAGATCATCGCAAGAATTTGAACATACCAATACAACTTAAATCGTTGATCGACGAAGTGCTTGCCTGCATTCTGACATATGATTCCAATGAAAAATCTCAAGCTGAATCCGAGAAAAAATATTACCAAGATTTATCTATAAGTTCGACCACATCGAAAATATTTGATGAAGCTTTGAGAGATCTCGCGGATCCGTTACTTCCTGTTCGGGCCCATGGTCTCATAACACTCACGAGATTGATCGAGAATAAAGATCCTTTTGCTGTTGCACGGAAAGCGATTATTTTGCGTTTATTCCAGGTGCTAATATTTCGATCACTCACTTATTGTGCGTTCAATTGCAAGTTTATCTCACTTGTGTATTTGATTACAGGAGAATTTGAAACACGAGGACTCGTTTATATATCTTGCATCTATCAATGGATTATGCGCATTGGCAACTGCATTCCCGAAAGAAGTCATAGAAACGCTGATGCCTGAATATATTGATATGCCGAATCGTGCAGAAATAACTATTGAAACTAGGATAAAACTCGGGGAAATATTAGTTAAAACAACGAGAGCCTTGGGTATATAGAAATCCTTTCTTTATTGTTCTTATGTACAGCTAAAATTTTCTATGAATTTCTCTTTTATCTCAATCTTATTCTATTTCTATACAAAACATGATTTAATTTCATGATACAACAAAAGTGTATCATTACAACAAGTTATTATTAAAACGCTGGACACATAAGTCCAACGAAACGATAAAACAGGATGCATCATACAACATCATGCAATTAGCAGTGATTCTTAAGATCCTAATACAAGTTTTGAATAAGAATCGACAATAATGAAAATGTGACATTTTGTAGGTGAAATGAGCGTGGTTCACAAAAACACATTGATTAACGGTTTTTTGTGCGCGACTCGTGACGCGGATCCTCTGGTACGAGCCTCCAGTCTCTCTTGCTTAGGAGAACTTTGCAAAGTACTGAACTTCCGTCTAGGAAACATTCTCATTGAAGTACGTATATATAAGAAATTCAGTTAAAGCCCTGGAGAAACTATTCTTTAAGTTTAATTTTAACTCTTTCAGATCCTCTACTGCATCGGATGCATAATAAAATCAGACAAAATGCCCGAATGTCGACGCGCCGCCGTATTGGTTGCCACGCTTTTGTTTCGTGGCCTTGGTCGAGACACGTTGAACAGTCTCGGTAGCGATTTAATCGATCTGTATCGCGGATTAAAGCATCTGCGCGACAATGACAATGATCCCGTGTTACAACTTCACGCTCAGTTGGCTCTGGAGGAGATCGATCATATCGTGCGGGATTCTCTATTTACACCACTTAAATTCGAAAAAAGAATATCCTTGTTGAATTAACTATCCTTTTCGACACAATAAAATATAATTTTATAGTTTCTGCTACTTTTACATGTGCAATAAATTTCTAACTAATATAATAACAAAAGATATAAAATCCAAATCCAAATCCAAATAAATATTTTTATAAAATATATCTATATATTTACAACACGCAGTAAGATGGACAAAAATAAATTCGCATTACTGAAAAACATCACACATAGCACATCACATCACATGTGATTGGTTTTTTGCGCTTGTTTCCATTCATAAAATGGATGCAAAATCGCAAATTGATTTGTAGGAAAAATTAAACTGCAATGAAGCAAACGAAGTAAACGAAGTACAACGTAACGATTCGAAATCATTGATAATTAGAATGTAAATCCAGAATGCACATGATTTTCTTTTTATAAAAATTACATAAATCTCATGTTTTTCGATCAACATTATAGAAATATCGTATCTTCGGAAAAGAATCCGGCTAAACGAATGTGATCTCGTTTAAGACAAACGTACAACCGCTGTGGCTGCGGTGTAGAAGCTGGCGAAGGTCGCGGCATTATCGCCCGTAAAATGAATTCTTTGCATGACGGCTCGGGGAATATTTTGTATCGACCATCTTCCGCATCTGTAGTATCCTTGTTAGTGTTACTAATGGACGTCATCATGTGAGCGGCCTGAAATAAAGCCAAAATGTTTTATTTTTGAATCATAAACATCATAAACTGTCTCTCTTCACTTTTTCATAAACGAAACAATAATATATAAAAATATACCTTTTGAGCGTCGCGAAACATCGTCGTTATTCGAGCCCCGATATCTCCTCTGGAGCCACCGGGCACATTCACCTCCTTCCCTCGCATCAATTGTATCAAGAAGGATGTAAATTCCTTAGAGTCGTTCTTTCCACCCAGCTTATGCTGCAATGAATTCACTTGCGCGACCAGTGCTTCCACATTCTCAATATCGCGTGTGATCTCCTGAAGATTAAAAATTTAAATATTTATCCATAAAATCCTATTTATCTGTATATACAATTTTATA